CCCAACAACAGAGAGCTCTACATCCACAGGTATCCCTCCACACAAAGTAGTCCCTTAGTCTCTTTACATCCACAGGTACACAGCACACCAACATATCCCTCCACACAAAGTAGTCCCTTAGTCTCTTTACATCCACAGGTACACAGCACACCAACGTATCCCTCCACACAAAGTAGTCCCTTCACATCCACAGTTACACAGCACACACCTGACACCAACGTATCCCTCCACACAAAGTAGTCCCTTACCTTTTAAATGTGGGCGGGGTTTAGTGTCTTTGTGGGTCATCAACAGGTGAGCAGTTTCCCGGTTCATGTTATGTTTCTGATCACCTATTGTGTGACCTCTGACCTCCCTCAGGATTGGTCGGTCCGGTCGTTACGGGCGTAAGGGTGTGGCCATCAACTTTGTGAAGAACGACGACATCAGGATCCTGCGTGACATTGAGCAGTACTACTCCACTCAGATCGACGAGATGCCCATGAACGGTAGGACACAGCCAATCACACGCTTGCTGCTGCTGATGATGTCACAGCTCACAAGAGATACAGCCAATCAGAAAGGAAACAGCAGTTTATTGATGAGCTGTGTGTGTGCGGTTATTACTAATAACTATTAACAGTTATTAGTATTTTTTATGTTACTAGAGTTATGTCAAAGTTTAAATTCTGACCCTAGCTATACATCACCGTTGCCATGGAAACGCCTGAAGCTCTGCCTTAGCTTCCATGAGTACACACTTAAACACTCAGAAAGCTGAGCAGGGCTGTGATTGGCTGCTGCCTCTCTGACACTTTTCTTCTTTCGTTCTCCCGCAGTGGCTGACCTGATCTGATGTTCCCCCGATGACCTCACACCGGAGCCCCGCCCCCCTTTTTACTCAGTTATTGTCTGTCAGGAGCTTTTTGTTCTTTTAATAGTTTGACGCGGAATTTTCTTATTTTGATTGTTGAAGAGAAAACGACTCGACGTGTTTTTGTAAATAAAGTTTTGGTTTCACCTCAAGCTGCCACCTTGTTTTTTTTTTCTTCAAATGGTTACCTCTTTAAAGGCCGCCACCAGGGGGCGTTCAATCTAAAGAATAACAAAAGATGAAGTCGAGGTTGGCGGGGAATAATTTACATCACGTTATTTTCCCGTGAAAACACTGTGGAAAGATTTGAAGTGTGGTTAGCGAGCCAGCCTTTCTGTTCAACATCCTGTCTGATCATAATGTTTGGTATCCAGAGGTGAAGATGATGAGAGGAATGTGTTCTAGCTTGAAGGTAACTTCATCCAGCTCTCTGCTTCATTATTATCTCAGACAACATTAAAGTGACAGCTGGTCAACACATAAGAGAGAGAATATAAACTTAATGAAAACCAGCAGGAGATAAACATCAGGTTCATATATTATGATGTTTCATATTTAATGATAGAAGATATTTGACAATATAGTCATCCTTGATGACTGTATGATGATGTTCTCTCAGACTCTGAGAGCTGCCTGCATAGTGACTGTCCTTCACATCACCTCTTAGTGGAACATGGTAAGACCTGTTCTGCAAATTCATTTCTAAAAAGGGACTGAAGGTTGGGAGCATCACGGGGTTCTTCATGTTTCACTGAAGCTTTATCAAAAAGTTAAAACAGAACATAGATATCAACAAGTAATTGTGTTTCTTATTGTTTGCTTCTTTAGTCTGAATGATAAAGTCTTCTGTAAATTCACATTTTAAAGCTGATATTTACAAGTCTTCCTGGAGGGGCATGGACCCCCCTAGGTGGTTTGGATCCATGTCACCTTCTTCATCCCTGATGAGTTTTCACCCCTGCCTACAGATGGTGTCTTGTAACGGAGCAGTGTGGGTCATACAGCAGCACACATGCTGTGGTGTTTCCAACACTTTGATAACTGTTGGAAATGTTTGAGGTGATGTACTTTTTTTTTATTCAGATATTTCAACAAATTGATTGAAATGTTTTTTTTCTCTCATCAGAAATAACATTCACACTCAGCTTTATGGTTTTAAAATCTGCTTTTATTTAATATTTTACACAAAAATGGAATTTAAGAGAAAACTGATAAAAAAAATGTACTGTGAAAATAAACAGGAAGTACATTAAATAAAAACAACAGGCACAAAGAAACTGATTTTAACTGATTTTTTACACCAAATATTCAGAAAATAAAAAAAACCTTGAAACCACGAGAGAGTTAGAGTCAGGTAAACATGCTGTCAATAAAAACACCTGGAGGCGGGACCAACACTCACCTGTCAATCAAAACATAATGTTAAATATTTAATGTGCTGTCAGATTCATTGTTTTATTTTGAAAATCTTCACAAACAAGCTGTACAAAAATATCGGTTACCTGTTAGCTTCTGGCTAACGTAGCTGCAAATATTGTTCTGTCAGGATGCTATATGCTAAGCTAACTGTTTTCATATGTACTGCGGGGATCAGCCTGTTTAACCTGTGTAGGGCCCTATGACCTCCGCCATGCACCGACCAACGCC